TCCCTACAATTCAGTAGAATTTCTTTATTGCCATTTGACCTTTCCAGTTTACATCTAAGTCCATACAGCCTTAACAGTATTCATATCGGTATTTTTTCTAAGATAAGGCATTGTTATAAGTATTTCATCGGCCTTTTTGTTCTTATCACCTATCGTTTCATCGCATTTGTTGAATGCATGGAAGCATTTTCTTGCTGAACGATGAACTCATGACCAACAGATCCTATTTCTGAGAAAAACTCATGATAGAAAAGCATCTGATTGTACCTTTCTGCAGTCAAGATGCCATCAGTTTTATGTCGATTTCCAACACTAATGGCTGAGATGTCACACTTGTATTTTCCCCAAATATGCTTCGATGTAAGTGTTGTAAGTTGACCGTGATGCCATAAAATTATATATCCATCTGTTAATAGCATCTTGCTTAGCTTTGCTGATTCAATTGTCTGAAGTGTAATGCCCATTTCAGCCTTTTAGTTTTGTTAACTTTCCTAAACATTGGTTATTGAGTAGCTACTCATTCAACGAGAATACTTCGTGCTAATGTGTATATTAATATTCTAGGGGTAATATTTACACCTTTACTTACACCTCTACTGGATTTTCGTGTATCATGTAAAAAATTTACCCTGAGTTATTCAACAACACTTTTTAAGACTTGAGCTTTCTACCTTCACCGCTTTTATTATCAACAGTATCACTTTCAAGAACTCTTTCCAGAATTTTCACATAGTTCATACTGACACATGAAATTTAGCGTCAATTTATCGCATGGAGTAGTTTCACCAACCAAAACTTTGATTTATAAAGGTGTGTCACGTGCCAGTTCTGCTCTTGGGGCCACGAATGCAACACCACACTAGTGCTTGGAGTAATATTACTGCATGTACTCTGATAAGCATTATGCTGGTGCGACACTACATAAGTGGTTGGATGACAGCCAATGACAGTGTAAACTATCAACACGTGATTAGACTCTGGTGTAGTTCATTTTCATACAATAGAGGAGCGGGAGCAATTATATAATTACTGCATTTTATACCCATTTTATTCAATGTTTTCATAATCATTTCCAGTTTTGTATATAAACAAAATAGTGGCGGTCTAAAATTAACTATTCGTAACTTTTTAGTTTAACATCAAACGTTTGCATTCAGATTTCATTCTTATATTCTTTATTTTAACTAAATACTGAAAAGTATACCAACAATTAGTATCGAGTATTTCAGTTAAAAAATGTTGGTGAATTTTTCACTAAATTTTGCGTTAACAAGAAAAGGCTTCAACGTTTGATCAAACCTATGTACATTGAAAGGTTAGGATAAAAACTGATTTCTTTAAGTTCATCTGTCTACCTGTCTGTTTAATATATCTAACTCCAGATCATAAGGAACAGCTCTTTGGACATGGGACTATTGCATCAGTGAAACATAATACACTTACGACGACGACATATGAAAATATTTTTTTTTCTTATCACCGAACTCAAAGTTCTACTTTCTATTTATAAAGATATACTTAAGCTTATAAAAAATAGATTCTGCCGTAGCAGGAGTCCTACATTCAGTGGAAAACTAGATGAAGATGACAGAGCGAAGAGCTTAAGGAGATAAAAGATGGCGTTGAAGGACCATTCAAAGAAGGATAAACATATGAGCATCCGGTTCCACTCGAATACTTCAACAAAAACCTTAACTAAGTTTCCGTTTTCTAACTCAGACACAACATTGAGATCTATGATAAAATTTACCAAACTGAACTGCAGAGAGAAATTAGGATAGTGTGCTGCCAAACAAAGGAAGCGGAAATGAGGCTATCTTTTTTACTTTACCCTCTATTCTGAGTCGATCTTTTAATACAACAATATTATAGAAATGTTAGCAGCTGATCATGGTCTCTGGGTCGTAGTTTTTAGAAACTTTATCTTAAACGATGCCAGCATACATACACAGGAGTGTGTACTTTGGACGTAAAAAAAAGGAAGTTTCCCTTCTTCATGTGTACGTTCGTTTATTGACTTGATGGAAACAGTAGCTAATTATCACTGTGTCTAATTCTTGTCAAATGACCAACTATCTTGAATAGGAAAAGGTTAAAGAGTGGACTCATAATCAAATTCTGCAGACTACAGGTTTTTCAGTTCAAAAGAAGAACATAGAAACAGCCACATAAACGTGGTATATATTCTTGAAGCACTGTAACAAATACACACTTCTCGGATCCGAACATGAACACATGCTTCCACTTTGTAATAATATACACTACGCTGACACTGATCTAAAGTTTTACATATATTACTATCTGTAATAATATACACTACGCTGACACTGATCTAAAGTTTTACATATAATACTATCTGTAATAATAGTGCACTGACATGAATTGTACAGCCACATTGTAATATTATACACTTCACAGATCTGGATGTTTACGTATAATACTACTACATCATAACAATATACACTACAATGGCCTGAAAGTTTACATACATTATAACTTCATTGTTACAAATACGCTACATTGATCTGAAAGTTTTAGCTAGGCTAATAACATATATAAAGACTAAACACTGGGTTGGTCTATACTTTTACATTTTACTGCAATATTGCAGCAGTTACCATCATACTGATTTAAGGTTTTAACATACACTACTGCTTAACAGTAAATAAGTAATTATACGTATATATTAAACTTGTCTGAAACTTAAATATATTGCTATAACATTGTAACAATACACACTACTCTGATCTAACACATATACCATATTGTTACAATATGCACTACCCTGATCCTACTTCAACATACATTATTACTATATTGTAACAATTTATATATTCTACATTGGTCCGAAATTACACACTACCCATTTCTAAACTGGAAATCCGACATCTTAAACTTCATAAACGTTCCTACGAATTCCTTAATACATAATGTGAAGTATTCATGATATATCCAGATTCATATTCTTAGATCAAAATAATTTTACAATACTGTTGTTAGTATTATAAAAAGACACGATAAAACTGAACCTGCGTTACCGACTTGGATCGTCAGCTAAAAGTCCACAGTTTTGATTCCTATTGATACTTTTCTGGTTAACGCAGGAAGAACTAGAAAAAATTATACCAGTTATTTGAAATTTTCAAGTATACTAAAATATGCCCGAGAGTGTTATTATGTTTAAATTTAATGTACAGTTTGTGGGAGAGTTGTAAGTGGTGAGATATAAACAATCTAAATGACCAATAACAATAAGGGTTTCGACATGTAACGAAAGACTAGTTATTTAACACGTGGAAACAAAGAGCTCTTCATTTGATAAAAATAGTTTCTCTTTTTTGAGGAGCTTTATTCTGGCTAAGAACTTTATTTGTAATAAGAGTAAAAAACCCGTTTTACAGGTTAATAAAAAAACAACAAGGATAAACGGTTAAGTATCCTGAGAGACGTGTTGCTATTTTCCAATTGCAAGGGTAAATAATGAATCATGACGTGCGGTTTGCTGATTCATTATGTGGTGTATGGTAAGCTCCACCTGTCCTGATCTTGTGTTTTGGATCAATTAAGATAAATTAGAGTGAACAGTACGCAAGGGTACTGCCCTCTTCGTTAATCGCCACTCATCTTAGAGCAGTTTCTAGAGAATTTTGTTTTCTTCCTTAAACACCACTCAACTATGAGCGGTCTAATAATCAATGTTGCCCTCTTATTCAAACACCACCCAGTTATTAGCAGTTTTTAGAGAATTTTGCTTTCTTCCTTAAACACCACTCAACTATGAGCGGTCTAATAATCAATGTTGCCCTCTTATTCAAACACCACCCAGTTATTAGCAGTCTTTAAGAAATGCTGCATCCTTCCTCAAGCACCACTCAACAATAATCAGTATATAAGAAATACTGCCTTCTTCCTCAAGCACCACTTAACTATGATAAGTATATAAGAAATGCTGCCTTCTTCCTCAAGTATCATTCAACTATTATCGGTCAATAAGAAATACTGCCTTCTTCCTCAAGCACCACTTAACTATGAGTAGTCTATAAGAAATGCTGCCTTTTTCCTCAAACATTATACAACTATAAGTAGTGTATAAGGAATATTGCCTTCTTCCTCAAACATTACACAGCTGTAAATATTCTATAAAAAATGTTGCCCTTTTGCATAAACACACACAGCTAAGCAGCCTATAAGTAATGATGCTCTCTTATTTAAACACCGCTGAACAACTTCAACACCTTTCTATTCCAATTTCAAGACATCTGAGCTAAAACCCTAAAACGAGGATTCGGGCGATAAAAATGAACATTGTGATTTGACTGTTCATTTAATTTTTTTAAGATTTCTCATTAAATCTGTAATTTGTAATTAAAATTCATTCATATAACCATAATTTGAAAGAAACATAACATTCCTTACTATCACGTGTCGCAAACCTTACAAGAATATTTTACTTTTACAAGTTTACAATTTACAATGTTACTTGGCGAGATTTCTGGCAGTCGGTCACTTCCATATCAACAATGTTTTCTTTAAAAATGGTGAAAAAGAAAAAGAAATTACACCGAAAGCGTGAAAATGCGTAACTGTATACCAGAACTACGCACAAGTCGATACAAGGAAACGATAAATTGATTCGAGGTCAGGATGTATTTGAATAGATTACTTGTACTAAAACTAAAACCTATTTGAATCCAACAGGATTGGTTTGGTTCTTAAATTGATATAACCCAAAATTGAATTAATTAAATTCTAAACTGATAAATAGGAGGATCTCATTTGTAGATTAAACGAATCGTACAATAGAAATTAAGTGCTGCTTTGGCTGAGGACTTAACCATCAATAATAACAAGATCTCGAATTACAAATCGAAACTCGTTTAGCCATTGACTAGTCCATTCTCTCTAAAAACTGGCTAGTCTTCAGAAAAATAATTAAATAATTTACACGCACCTTTAGGCCGGAAATATAAACAGAAAGTTGTACAGGAATTGTAACTTACCATCTGAGACGACGTCTTAGGTTTCCTTGCTATGTTGGGAACATGAAACCCAGCTACAGAGATAAACCAAAAAAAACAAAACAAAAAAACAACTATTTTTTTATTTTTCAAATAGTTTCATCTGAAAGTAACGCCGTAAGTGTAAAGACGATGAATTAAATATATCATTGAATATTTCTGAAACTTTGCCACCTAAAACACAATGGTATAGACATAGAACAGTTAAAAACAAATATTTTTTAATATTGTTCAAACTTTCTACTCTAAAGATTATGCTGAAAACGTAAAGCTGTTAAGTTAAATATTTTAAAAATTGATTTTAGACTGTGTCATCTAAAATTATTTTTGTGAGGAAATAAAATTTTTGTTATCTAAACATACGTCTGTATAAGGCTGTTCTCATATAAATATATGATTTAAACGAAAAATAGAACTTCAGATATTTTCTATAGTGTTAGTGTATGCTGTGTAGTCGTTTTTAATATTCCTTTATGGCATTATCTTTAGATGAGAATTTGAAAATACATAAAATATTTAAGTGACCAATTTTACCTCTAATCCTTGTATTTAAGTTATCCAGCCTGTTCTTTTTACGTTTCTGAATTTCTCTTATTCTTGTATTCTTTCTATATGTTTTATGTGCCCGGCATGGCCAGGTGGTTAAGGCACTCGACTCGCAATCTGAGGGTCGCGAGTTCGAATCCCCGTTACACCAAACATGCTCGCCCTTTCAGCCGTGGGGGCGTTATAATGTGACGGTCAATCCCACTATTCGTTGGTAAAAGAGTAGTGGGTGGTGATGACTAGCTGTTTTCCTCTAGTCTTACACTGCTAAATTAGGGACGGCTAGCGCAGATAGCCTTCGTGTAGCTTTGCGCGAAATTCAAAACAAACAAACAATGTTTTATGTTCAAATTATATTAAAACTCAAAAGCACCTGTTTTAAATTCCTTCATACTATAAGCCCAGAAAATGATATAATAACACGTTTTTCAAAAATTCAGCAGTCCAACAAACTCAAACCTAAGATGGTGGTGAGACAATACAATGGGTTAGAATGTAAGGTACAATATACATCTAAAGAGGACGTCCGCATGAAACACTTCAATAAGCGGACAAGATGTGTTACCTGTCAAAATAGACATTTCAGTGTCATATTTTCTAAAACGATGTTCGTATAATCATGATAAAATAGATTTCATTTTACTAATTATAATTACATTTAGTCTTTTAATGTAACAGAATTTTATAACAGATTTGCTGATATTCTTTCTAATTCTTCTTCTGTATTGAAATTTTTATCTATAGAGTATATTTTAGTGTAGTTGTTGGTTTCGTTGAGTTTTTTTTTCTATTATACGGGATAAAACGACTTTATTGTTAGAGATTGATTGTAATCAGAGGTTGACTGTGGACAGATAGATTGATTGTAATCAGAGGTTGACTGTGGACAGATTTCCGTTATCTAACAAGGTATGTCGGAAGGGATTTAGAAGAAGGCAACTAGGATCATACCTGAGATGATACGGTTGTCATATTAAGACATGTTAAGAATTCTGAAATTGTTTTCTTTTGAAAAAAGAAGAGTTAGAGCGGATCTGATTACGATTGTTAAGGGAGTTGATAATGTTTATGCATCATCTTTTTTTCGTATTTACTGGTAAGAATAGTAGGACTAGGAAACGTAATCATGAATTTTTGCAGGATAGGAGTCATCTTCAGCTCAGACAGCTTTACTTTTCTAAAAGGATGATTGGCCTTTGGAATGGGTTGCCTTCAGATGTGGGGGATGCAGTTAAATTAAGGGATTTTATGGGAAGGCTTGATAAATATGAGGGCTGACTTTGAGAGTTCTATTTTTATTTTAAGTTTAGCTTAGTGGATTGGACGGCCTAGATGGACCGACAGGTCCCTTGTCCTTAAGTTGTACGTATATGCATGTATGTGTATATATATGAATAATTTTTATCTTAATCAAATTATTCTCTACCACTACGTTTTGCACGTAAAGGACCGGTAAGTATCGTTTTAAACAGCCATAACACAAAACAGAACAACTGATAAGTGGACACCAGATATCGTTCTCTTTATGTCGATAAACAAGTTTGTGATTTTATAAAATTCAGTTTAATGTAATTTATACGAGCCAACAAAAATATAAAGTTTATAAACCATGTAAGAACTAACGAAAAATGGTGCATGATTTAGTGTATTTACTTTCATTTAGTTTTTACAGTAATTCTATAATATTTCTGTTTTACATTAGTAAATTGAACATTAAACAATTTAAGAACACTATGAGATTTCAATACAGTACTAGCGGTACCATCAACTTAATGTTATGATCAGTTGAAGGGAAGGGGGGTTAACAGAAGTGATGCCAGAGGTTTCCAGCTCTTGTATGCTATGGACATATAGGAGTCAACTAATGAAAGCCGCCAAAAGAACCTTGAACTCAAATATGAGAACATCGAATGAGTCAGTGATGGTTCGTGAAAAACAATACCTGGAGTACTTAAAAAAAAAAACACTTCTTCTGGTTGGTCATGTGTGACGTTTTGATAACAATAAAAAACATTTTTTGCATGTTCCAAGGAGCCCGCTACTTCCGTCATCCAGGCAATGCTTTGTTTGTGTTTGTTACCCAAATGTTTTATTTGTTGACTGATTGAATTTTTTAACAATATTATAAAGAGTAATCATTGAGATTGGCGCTGTCTCTTATACACTAATTATTATCTTTCTCATTATAAGAAACATTACACACAGGAATTACCTGGTTTTCAAACGCAGCATATATTCAAAGGACCAAGATGGTAGTGAAAAGATTGATTTGATTGATTCTATTATAATATCCGTTTTTGGTGTCGGGTTGTCTTTAAAGGACAAACTCGATTTTAATAATTTCCCTGAAATAGCCTGGTTAGTTATTTTCACAAGCAGGAAATATGGGAAAGGACAGTACGGTGTTTCTCTACAAACGAAAAAGGCTCAATGATCAAAGGTGACTTTTACTTTGAATTTGTTACAATAAAATATGATGAACACCAATACTTACTAACGGCTTCAATAACATCAGCAAGCAAAACGCCATCACTAACGTCAAACTGTAAGTCTTGAATGTAATGTTTGAAACGTCCTATTTCCAGGTAATTATTCGCCCAGTCCATGTAGATCTACAGATAAAAACAATTCAACTTGAAAAGTATGTGTAATTAGTAGCTAACTATTTCTTTACGTAGTGCAACTTATTTATATACTTATTATTTGTCCCCCAGTGGCACAGCAGTATGTCTGCGGACTTACAACGCCAGAAACCGGGTTTCGATACCCGTGGTGGGCAGAGCACAGATAGCCCGTGTGTAGCTTTGTGCTTAATTACAAAAAAAACTTATTATTTATAAGAAACAATCTCTTTATATATCAAACATCAAAATTATATAAAACTGATCGTCGACTTTCATGACTGACTACATAACAAATCACTTCAGAGCAGACTATAGTTTTAGTATTGTTCATGTTATGATTTGACATTCGCTACTTAAAACTTTGAACTAAAACATAAAGTTTGGAACCCTCGTACTACTTGGAATAAAATCTGTTGCATGAAGTTTCACAGCTTCGTAGCAATTAGAATAAGATCTGTCAGAAAGTTTTAGAGCTTCTTAGTACTTCGAATAAATTCTGTTACATAAAGTTTGGAAGCTTCATAGTATACTTGAACTAAAATGTGCCACTAAGTTTGGAAATTCTGTAGCACTTGAGTAAAATAGTTACCACAAAATTTGAAAGTTTTATAGCACTGAGGCTAACATCTGTCTGAAAGTTTGGGAGTTTCATAGAATTTAGACTAAAGAATGTCACACAAATTCAATTCCAGATGAAGGTTCCTAAACTTCTTATGAACCAGAGTCATGAAACATACTATGTAGGTCCGTTATTCCAAAAGACCTTCTACTAATCCTCCAGTGTTCTATGTTCGATGAAAATAAGAGGACTGAACACAATACAACACATCTGTCATTAATATACATCTACTGATTCTATGTTTCGTCGACACCTCTTACAATATGGATGTGTTTTTATTATACATACAACGTTAATAGTCTTCTGACGTAACCTGGAAAGCAGTTGAAACCTTTTTCTTCACGTTAATTTTAACTTCGTAAAGAAAAAAAAGGCGTGATATTTGATTATATTCAAAACAAAGATAAATTTAACATAGTTTTGCAACAATCAATATTCTTGAAAATTAGCGAATCTTAATAAATTTTAGACACCGTTTAACCGTTATAAAGAAAATATTTTTAAAACTACATGGTAAATAAGCAAATTAAAGTGTTTTCTGTTCTGTTTTTTTTTTTTATGAGAGTAAAGCCATATTATGCTATCTGCGGGGGATCTAATATTGGACTTCAGCTTTAAAAGTCCGTAGGCTTATCGTTGTCCCACCTGGGGACACTAAAAGAAAAGGACTAGGGAGTAGGAACTAACCTTATTAAATAAAGCTATTTGCATTCGTCCAAAGTCGTGTTTCCTTGAAAATTTATTCAGAAATCTATCTATAAAAATAGATTACAATACAAAATTGTAATTTGAATATGATTATAAAACAAAAGTGTTCCAATCTTGCATATAAGAAAAAAAAGGTCCAAATAAGAAAATAAGTTTATTCTTATCAACCGTGAAAAGGGCTGATTTAGCGTAACATATGAAAGAAACATTATTAAATACACTTTTGCTCTGTTTGTTGAACTTTCATTTGTAATTTCAACCATCTTTATCTGGTAATGGTCAGCTGTTTAACAGAGCAAGTTGTAATAAAATCTGCAGAAACTGAAGACAGTGTGACTTAGTGTCTGTAGTAATAGCGTAGACATATTACCAATAAATAAAATAGTTACGTACTAGCCAACGTTGACCTCAAACCTAGGTCCTGCAATCTGTTGCTAGGGGGAGCCGAACAGTCAGTGTCATACTGAAATCATTATTCACGGCTAACGTTTAAACTTCAACAAGCTGGTGGCAGAGATGACAGCCTCAACGGGTATCAATCGTCGTCTACCAACAGCTGATTAACAACCACGACGAACTAATTATTAATCCCCAGTATTCGTGTGTAAAGTTCTGTTTTTAACTAAAGCTTTGTAGTCCAGGCGTTTATATAATTGAAGTGGAGAAACATACTGTAAAATCTATGGTATTCTGGCACATTCCACAGATATCACGACAAGCTTTTCGAAATTCAAAATTTTAAAGCAAAACAATCAACCAACTTCTCTACTTCCAATATTTTTGGCGGAAATTTAATCTAGGGCACAAAATTATTTCTAGTAAAGGCGTAATTTAGGGTACAAAGTTCTAAAATAGTAGCGTAAGATTATTCTAGAAATTCAAAGGAATAGGGTTCAGTGTCAGATAAATTAGCATTAAAATGAATACAACAATATTATAGAAGAAAGTAAGTTCGATAGTCAAATGATGAACTAAAGGAGATATTATAAAGACAGTCTCTGATATTTACATCATATCCTAGCCAATGATATCAGAACAGAATCAAGATAATATATTCACAAGCTGGTATCTAAAAGAAATGCATTGAGAGAGAGAACTAACATCTGACGAGTGAAGACTTTGATTTTTTGCCCAAAGCATTTAAAAAATGAGAAAAGAATGCCTAAACTGTCCCTGGCGAGGGTGAAATCTTCATAATCCTAACCGTATGGTCCGTTTTTTTTTCTCTGTACTTTGGTTATCGCTGTCTAGCCAAAGCGCTCCCTATTTAAATCTAAACAAAACTGAAATTGGATAACCATTCCAAAGAACGGGTTCTGCTGTTCAATGTTAAGTCTGAAGGTTTATAACGCTAAAAATCTGGTTTTGATACACGTGATTGGTAGAGCACAGATTAGTCATTGTGTAGCTTTGTGTTGAACAACAAAGCCAAGCAAATAAAACTAAAGAACGATATCTTTACGTGGTGGCAATGCTAAAAAAGAACTCTTCCGAAGCTCATGTGTGTGTGTGTGGAGGGGGGAATCTTTTCTAGGTCGTTACGAATAGAATCAAGTGAACCAGGACTTTTAGATGAGCATTAAAAACTGGTACGAATCAATCAGATAACTTGTTTCTGATTAGACAGAAATTCTAAAATGATTACTCAAGAGCCATAAAAACAAGGTTGTGTTAGGACTTGTTACAGCGCC